TATTTCTGTGTTGACATTATCTACTGTTTGAATATGATATTATATAGTAGATTCTTATTTTACGCAAAATGTTAATCTAAATGTAGCGCATACTTTATGGTAGACACTAGGTTTCTGTATTTGAGTTCTTCCTAAAAAATATGTATTGTATTCTTTCTAGAAAATATATACTTGTGTTCTAGCTAGAAAATATATATATTTGTGTTCTTACGGTAAAATTCCTAATTGAGGCCATGGCTTTAATTAATATTCATTTTTTCAGTGGATGAATTCAGATGCGTGAAGTCTTGGTGCGACTTTAATTAGAGCATTCACTTTGGTAACAGTGGGAAGGCCAGAAGGGATAATGATATGCTAATGAGATGCACGACACTCGATTGCAACTTTGTTGAGATTCTAAGGGCACTTTCGGATTTTTACACACAGTCAAACTTGTACACAAACGAAATTTCACATTGTATAACATACTGCACAATAAATAATATCTACAAATAGATTTGTATGCATTTGCAGATTACAATACTGTATACTACAATCTCTTGAATAGACTAATTCGTTAGCACCGGTATAGGTCACAACTGAGAGACAGCCGTCTGACACAGTCGGTTGCGTTCGATTACTGGCATGTTCGCCTTCCGGCAGAGTGACTGTACATTCCATGTTTAATTTAGACATCGGGGAAATTAAAAATAAAATAATTAAAAAAAGTCAATCAAAAAAAAAATGTTAGCATGATAAAAAAAAAAAAAATACTCAGTATATTATTTAATGTAATATATATTTATTTTCTTATTTTTTTTGATAACAAAACGTATATTCTAAAAGAAGTAAAAACAAAAACTAATGCATTCGTAGTAGCAAATGATCACAGTTAAAAGGTCATGCTGTGTTTCACACAAGTGAATAACTTACTTGTTTTCAAAGTGTTACAATTGCTGATTATTACTCAGTAGTGATTACAATAATGTACAAAAAATAAATTCGTTGAATTGTTGTGAAAATTCAACTTAGTTTCACTGCAAGCGAATGATTTCAGTCACATATAAACGCTCGATCCGATACGATATCCGCCATGTTTGTTCAAACATCTTTAGTGACTTGAAACTATTTTTGACCTGATAGGTCAAGTTGCTAATTAACTAATCGAAACGCTGGATGGTGCCAACGTGATTAAATTACCATAGCTCATTTAAATATGTTAATGTAGTTCAGCGACCTCATGGTAAACGAAACACGGAAGAGATTTACCGTTCTTGTAGTGCGATCGTTTGGCTTTGATTTTGATGAGAAAACGGCATGATTTTTTTTAGATCAGGAAATTAGTTGTTTTCGTGAGCATTGAAGAAGAATTTAACACTTTTGACGATAATAACAGCTCATTGTCGAAACGCAGTTTACTCATTCACGCTACCCACAATAAACCTATACTCAGGAATAAGCATCAATGACTACGGAAAACCTAAACTCTAATTTAAGCGTCAGGAATCATTGAAATGTTCGAAAAATTATGCCTTAATTTAAAATTAAATGGTATATCTTTTTCTGAAATATGTGGTGGCTGTTTGGTTTGTGAAAGTTTGGGGTGCGGCTTATATTGCAGGCTTTTTCCTGGGATCAAAACTTGTCAATTTCAACATGAAACAATGTCTCAAGTTAGGGATGCGGCTTCTATTACAGCTGCGGCCTCAAATATGATTTTTATGGTACTAGAAATTATATACTTGTGTTCTTACTAAAACATATATTTGTGATCTTACTAGATATTATTATACTTGTGTTCTTGCTAGAAAACGTATACATATACATCTTTCATTGTCCATAATAGGAGCTTTAGTCATGTGTCTGTCTTTTTGTCTGTGTATAGATTGATACCTCCATTGATTTCTAACCTGTCTTCCAATCCAGATGATGTTTATGCTTCTCATTAATGCAAGTTATGATTAATAGTGTTTGAAACAAACTATATGCATATTAATAATGATGATTTGCTTATTAAACATTCTTGTTTCAATGTTATCCCAGTCTCTGTACTGCATCACAATAAATATACATGTAGCTGTATTATATACCTTTATTTCATAAGAAGCCATATGTTCTTTCAAAATTTATACAACCCGTATACTAATTTTGCCACTGGAATTTGAACATCTAATGTTACATACATCCTAGGTTATTTAGCATACATCCAAAACAGCAATGCATGAAAGGAATTTATGTTGTCCGTATAACAAATAGCTTAAATGCTGTGTTGCTGTGGTAACCATGCATTACTTCATATTCACTTGATAAAACAACTTTACCGTAATTGGTAATGAGAGGAGTGCATCATCTACTACTACCACATCATAACTTGAAAGAAGCTCTAGTAAGTTCATCTGCGTTTATTTCAGAATTGGTATAATGAGATTAGTAAATGGTTGGGTTCAAGGATTTCTCCAATAGCAATTGATTCTGGATCAAAAGCTGATATCGACAGGAATTTAAGTAAGTAACTATCATATCATATACAGCCAAGCACTTTACTCCAATATCTAGACTTCTGATTAGGAGAACACGTAGGCTGTGGTACTAATATAACATGAGGCTTATGCCTATATAGAGAAGTGTTCTTAGATCTATGCTCAATTTTAGTAAAGAAAAATAAACATTTTCATTAAAATTAGCATCATTTGAATACCATATGGAATGAAAGTATTAGGGTGGAGGGCCACTCTTCCATCAAGTGCAGGCACACAAGTTTCCTCCTTTGGGAAAAAACTCCTGCAACAAAGATCAAAGGTCACATGGTTGCCCGACCTTGGATGTGGAAGCCAAAGAATTCTGAAATAGGATGAAGGTGAAGTGTTCACCCATGTTGTGATGGGCGACAAGGGAAAAAAGGTGGAAGTCTGGAGATGGTGGTGGGATAGCCAGAATAGCACAAAGATGAAGTGCAGCAAAGAATAAATTGAATGTTAAATCAAAGCAAGTGTCACTAAGTTATGTGTGCAAAGAGGATTCTGATTGGTTGAGGGCATGCAAACTGAATATTCAGAACAGTGATTGGCTGAAATGACCTGCTTGAGAAAAAAAACAGAGGACCATGCTTTTACTATCCAAACTTACGTTAAACACAAGTCTATTATTATAATTTGTAGCACAGTGAAAATAAAAAGACTAGAAGAACAAAATACAATGTCAAGAAGCTAACTAAAACTAAAAAAAATATATGAAAATACAGACAATATTGCATGACTGAAAATCACCAAGACTTTCACAATAAAATTTGGGTTGGGAATCGTCCCTTCATCAAGCCAAAATAAAAGGCAGGGTGGTCACAGCTGCACATAGACATGATTCTCAGGCACAACTACACTGATACTGGAAACATTGCAACAGTTGACCTAGTTGAATATGCATTGTATACTGTAAAATCTGTACTAGAAGTTGCATCCCTATTAAAAAATGCACCCAATCGTTTTTAACAATTTGGAACAAAAAATTCAACACTTCTCATATGTAAAATATGAATTTGCATCCTCTCTATAGCATTGTACCATTTAAAGTGGCTTCTAATACAATTTACTGTAAGTGTGCAGTCTACCATTTCAAAACTTATTCGCTTTATTAGTGGTACACTTTGCAAATTTATTAATTTAAGATTTGGTTGTTCTGGTATTATAATGCAAACATGAAAATACCTGGCAAATGTTTGAAAGGAATTACATTTGCATGTATGAATACCATTTGAATAGTACCTGATGCCCTTCATTAGTTTATTAGATGGTTTATTTTCTATAAACACAATGCATGACACTATATGCCTGTCATCAGCTGCATATGTATACTCTTTATTATTGATCTATTTACCTCAATTTAACAATACCACTCTATTTCTTTTGTTTTTTATGTTAGCAGTCGTCTGTTAAATACAACCTCTCATACGACATCTGTAATCCATATTATATCCTTGTAGTTACAGCAGTGACATGGTTTTGGTAGATTGGTCATTGTTTGTGTTTACTACATGCCATCATTTTGTGTTCTACATTGTTCTGGGCCATCAAATAGTGACAGGAAACTGACATCACTTCTGTTACTAAGCTTAGTATATGATGTGTCTGTGTGGTAACACATGTTATGCTTTTTGTATTAGTTTATCCACTGTACTGTTGTGCTTGAAAAGTGAGCAGCTCAAAGGGATGGGTGATTTTTGCTTGTTTATGAGGTTTCTGTTTATTTAATGTATAACGCTTGAAAGTCAAAATGACCTGGTCTTTTTTGAATGATGTAAAAATTTACCACAGGGAAAATATTCACTATTTTCTATGAATCTGAATGCAAAGCAAACCTCACTTGTTGATGTGTTCTCAGTTTGGTAATACTGTAAAGGAATAAATTCTTCATCATTGCCAGCAAATACTGTATTTACTGTAGAAGTGCATATTAGTCACATGTACACTGAATCATTGAAATAATTATTTATTTTGACTATATACACACCACTGGAATTTACACGAGTGCCTATATATAGTTATGCATACTTGTAAATATTTTTTGGTGAAGTTTGCGAGTATTGGAAAAAAAATTGTAAAGCAATGGCATCTTCTTTGGTGCTGTATTAGACAAATTAAATCTCTTTGCAAAACTATAAGAAAATCTCAGGCAATGGTTTACAGCAATACACTAGACTGGCTCAGTCTAGGCGATTTAGTTCTTTTTAAAGTTTAAATTAAGTAATAATATTGCGAAATGGAGGTGTTAATGCAATATCCTCTGTAACCGCGAAATGTGGTTGTTTCGCGCTCACCCCAAATTTCACAAAACTATTTTTTTTCCCAAGTTTTTTATTATAATTTAACTAAAAAAAATCACCACATCTGGGCCAGTCTAAGTCATACACATGTTTCTATTGTTATATGTTGTTGAATCTTAGTATGAACTAAATTTATATGCTTGATTATTGAAATGGTTGAATTGCTCAGATATGTTTCAATTTTTCAGCTCATTTCATGACACAGAATGGTCGTCGTATCGCCCACCCAATACTAATAATATCATATGAGACATTCCGTTTACATGCATCTGTGTTGCATAAAGGAGCTGTAGGCCTTGTTTTATGCGATGAAGTAAGTATTATGTAGTGTGTATACATTTATATTGCAGCATACAAATTCCCAAAGTGAAGAAATGAAACTTGTGTTATTGTGTAGTATACATGGGTGGGGGTGGGGGTGGGGGTGGTGGTGGGGGGTAGTATAGTATTTTGTAATCATAGTATAGCTGTTCTTAAACTGTAATTAGAAATAAAACCAAATTATAAATGTCAATTTTCTCTTTGGTGCCAATAAAGCAAAGATTCTGTCGACCTGCTGATATATGCTGTGTATTATTACACCTTGTTACACCTTGTTACATTCTAATATTTATCTTATGTGTTTTTAATTACTACCACAAATATTATTCTGGCTAAAGGATTACAAAAAGTCAGGAAATTAGCACGTCCTGGAAACCCAGCTTGTCTTTGCTTATGTCTAATTATGTTTTTAATATATTTATTTTAATATACTGTAATAATACATTATTAACTGGCATTGTAACTGTCAGAATTTGATTACTCATATACTGTTCATTACTACAGGGCCATCGATTAAAGAATTCTGAAAATCAAACATATCTTGCACTGAGTGGACTGAACTGTAAAAGAAGAGTTCTCCTGTCT